GGGGTCAGGAGTGCGCCAAACAGCACAGGATTGGGTCCCGCTGCTCGACACAAGACCCTGGGCCTCCCAGCATGTTCTGCTGGAGCCCAGCAGCAACAGCAGCCAGAAAGATGTGCCAGGCAGCCCCAGGGACTTGTGCCAGGTAGTGGGGCTCAATACTGTCCTCTGTGGACAGCTCCCATCCCCGCTGCCTGGCACAAGGCCCCTGGGTTGCCTGGCACATCCTGCTGGAGCCCAGAACCAGTGGCAGCCAGCAAGACACACCAGGCAGCCCCAGGGGCTTGTTCTGGGCAGCAGGGCCCAATCCTTCTTTCTATATTAGACCCCGGCTCAGGGAGCCAAGACTGGGATGGGGTTCATTCCCTTCTCCCCCCTGCATGTCAGTGATTTATGCTGGCCCAGCTATGGGGGTGGGGAGTCACCCTGCAGCTAGGTAGACCAGAGCTGAGGAGGGTCCTGGGCTGGTCAGGGGAAACCACAGAGATTGGGGCTCCCCCCACACAGGCAGATGCCAGCCTCAGGGGCCAGCCAAGAAAGTTGGGGGGAAAAGGGGCGGGAAGAGACTCCTTTCCCACTCCCCACAGCAGGTCAGTGGTGTGTGCCAGCCTGACCCTGGAAGGGAAGAACAGGGGAGAAAGAGACAGGCACCCCTTGGAGACCAGAGCCAGGGGCTGTGTTCTCCACCTCTCCTCCCCCTATTGCCATGCAGGGTTGACAGGCACAGGCAAGACCCAGCTCAGAAGAATAGGCATTGCTGTTTCCACTCTGTGACAGCCATAGGGAGGGGCTGGCTCTAGCTCAACCACAGCAGGCAGCACAGCCGAGGCTAGCCTGCCTGTCCTGTGAGGGAAACTGGTATGTGGCTCCCAATTCATTTTAGGATGCTGGGTGACTGGGGCATGACCTGAATTGGGAAGAGATGTGGGACAGAAGTTCCATAGACCAGTTTAACCTAAATCAGTTCAGTTCAGTCTGATACTACATCCATTCAGGTTTATCTTAAACAGGGTTCAGCCATTTTGAAACCAGATGTGCACTGAACTTCTGTTCTGTTACAGATTTAAACCACTTTCCTATCATTTATACCAGTTTACATATAAATTCTGTCCCTAGCTGAGAAGATAACTCATGTCAATTACTGTAAACAGATCTGAAACAGCCAATAAGAGTTTTTACGCTGCAAAACTGGATATGCAGCATTTCCAAAGGGTAATGAATATGGTAACCTGGTAGTGCAGAAAATAATGTACTACCATTGAGATTAGCGAGTCTTATTAAGTAGAGAAATCCTTTCCTTTAGATTTTGAAAAATTTACATTTTAGCCTCAAGGATGGAGGTTTACTGTAACTGCTATTTTAAATCTTTATGTATATTCTAAATGATACTTAAGACATGAACACAACTTTCAATGGTAAGAGGCTCCCTTACCTATCTGCCTGAATGGTCTCTTTAACGGTTTTAAAAAATTCAAAATAGTAAGTCACAGCAATGGATGCTAAAATCCAGAATGCAGAGTGAATGTTAAGTCTGGGAAGAGGCTTCTCTTTTTTCTCTAGTGCTGTAGATTCTTCTGTAAACAAAGAATATTATTACACTTTTATAATGTCATTGGACAGAGTCATTTTCAAACAAAACGTAACACTTAATCCTTCTAATTCATTCTTCTTGGGAGATTGATGTATTCAACATAAAAAGATATTCTGCATTAAAGACTAAGCACTTAAAAGGCTCTGCTCATTTCCTGAAATAATATAAAAAATAAACAAGGTGTCTTTTGATAAAAACAGAAGGCATTAACAATAGGCATAAACTCTGTCTGTGTATCTTTCCAGAAAATTAACATCTGCTTACATTACTGAAAATTTTATTTAACCACTTACAAACCCGTTATTAAGAAAACATATTTAAATTTGCTATAAATGTCACAGAGGGAAAGGTAAAGCTGACTGTTCCACTTGCTAATTTCTTTGCTTCCATTTTCATTCATTTCAGTGTTTGCAAACTGACCCATAGATCATGTTCATGTTCCTACAGGTAACTGATTTAATGTCACATGCCAAATTTAGTTATGCTAACTGTATGTACAGCAGGCTACCATAAAAGAACGATTATGTAGAAATTTACCTAAACATTTTCTACTATTCTCATCATGCGAAGAGCCAAGTGTCTAGTAAATATTAGATCAACTGGAGGAACAGGCTGTTTTGAAGGCAGCAGTACATTTACATGTGGTGTTGAAAGCTCAACTCATCAAGCCTAGAACACATATTCTGGCACTGTACATATGGCAACATAAGGCAGATGGCAAGGTAGAGTGACACTTTAAAGATTAACTGGTTCAGAGAAGTACGAGTATTTTGAAAAGTAAGTTATTGCCCACAAAAGCTCGTGCCTGGGTCAGTCAGGTGCCATTCTGCCCTGGCTTCTGCCTGACTTGACTAACATGGCTAGCCACCATTGCCAGAATAAGAGGGAAACTGAACTGGTGCAAATATTTCATAAACTGTTTCACATTTTAAACCTCTTTTCTTAGCACAAGGCTCCTGGTTCTAAACAGCAAGTAGCCCTCAAAGTAATGAATTCTCTTCTTCGTATTTCTTCCACAACTCGCATTGAGAACCAGTGCCAGGTTAACAAATACCAATCTTTTTCACAGAAACTGTAAAGAGGTAGGGCCGGAAGGGACCTCCAAAGGTGATCTAATCCAACCCCTGCCTGAGGCAGCATCATCCCTATCCAAACCATCTTGTACAATCATGTTATGACTACGCTCAGCCCTGACAACACAACACCCTAACCTGCCAGAGGTAAAGTAGGGATAGCCCAGCAACCACCATCCTGTTTCTATAAAAGTTGGTTAATACCTGCTCACAAGAGCCCGCGCAGAGGGGCACCCCTCCTCCCCGCTACAGAGGAAGGCAAAAGCCCCCATTGTCCGTACCAAACTGACCACAGGGTCAAATTCCTTCCTGGCCCCAAACGTGGCAACCTTGAGCAGCGGGGCAACACCCTGTGGCCACGAATGTCTGGCTCTGGTCCCAGCCGAAGCTCTGGCAGAGCCCAGTCAAAATCCCCAGCCTTGGGGGAGGCCTAGCAACACCCTGGAGGGGGTTTCCCCTGCAAGGCACCTCTCAGAAAGTGCCCGCTCTCAGCTTTCACTCTTTGTGTTTGGAGTGTGAATAACACAGCAGCTTTCCTGGTGCAAGAAGCCCCCTGCAAGTCTGGACGTGCGCCACTGCGAGTCGTACGGCCGAGTCCGGCCCACGAGCCCGCCCGTTCCCCGCCCAGCCCTGCCCAGCCCGGAGACACCGACCGGCCGCGCCACCGCCGTCCTGAGGGGGCTGCAGCAGCGCGCCCGCCGCCGCCTCCTGCCGCAAGTGGCGCCGGAGCCGTAGGAACGGGTCTCGCTCGCTCGGCCCGGCCTCCATCTTGGGCCGCCCGGAAGTGACGTATCACAAACACCAGAAGTGTCCCTGGAGGAGTGGTATAAATAGCAGCGTGGCTGTTGTGCCCGTTATTGTGGCGGGGGTGTGGGGGGGGGGTGTTTGCCTCTTCCTCGTTCCGTCTTGTCTGTAAGTGAGGGGCCCTAATCCACCCCGCGCCCCACTCCCGGCTTGGCCGTGCCCGGGGCGCTGCGGACGTGCAGTCCGAGCGCGGCATCTTGTGTCGCTACAAACTGGCGCGTGTCGTCGGCCCGTCAGGGAGGGGCGGGAACAGGGCGGGGATGCGGCGGCAGCTTGAAGCCTTTCTCCGGGTCCCAGAGGCAACCCTGTAGCGACCTGCCTGGGCCAACAGAGCCCCAAACGTCCTGTGCTGCCCGAGTTAAAGAGACCTGTACCATATATCTCCTGTACCTGTATCTCCTCTGCTTGTCTGTTCCCCTCTTGTCACCCTGTGTAAGATGCAAAGGATATCTAGACCCTACTTGCATCTCCCCCTTCAGGCTGGTCGTAGTAAGGTTGATATTTCCTGGGGTGTAGATGTGCGATGGTATCTGGCAGAGGTTTTGGTGCAGCTAGTTAGTTACTCTGACTTCAGAAGGTGGTCGTGGAAATCGTCCTAGAGAAGGGACCTGCAGGAGTTGCTGAGTCCACCCCCCTGCCTGATGCAGGATTGTCCCTGTCCAAGCCAGGGTTTCTCAAGGTGTGGGTTGTGACCCAAAAGTGGATCGCAAGAATATGTAAAACGGCTGCAAATAAACTTTAAAAAATGGATTCCCCTTTAAAGGGGAAAAGGTGGGAAACCAGGGGTTTTCCCTTGGAGGCCCCCCTACCCAACACGTGGGAGGCTGGGGCCTGGGGGCAGCAGGCTGAGAGTGAGGGGCATGGGCAGGGTCGGGGACAGTTTTCTAAAACTATTTACTGGGTCAAGATTGGTCGTGATGTTTACAAATGGGTCCCAGTACAAAGAAGGTTGAGAACCACGGCTCTTCACTCCATTACCTGAACTCTACATAAGACCATCCTCTTTGTTTGAACCGGTTTACATTTCAGCTTCCACTCATGTTGGATCATATAATACTTTCATCTGCTAGGCTGAAGAGTTCTCTGCTACTTCTGTTAACAAACGTAATTACTAACAGATGGGGATCAAGCCATTCCTTTACCTTCTCTTTGTTGAAATTAAATAGATTGAGCCTCTTGAGTCTCTCTCAGTGCAATTTGCTGCTTCAGTCCTTGAACTATTCTTGTGATTCTGATACAGATCCTTCACACTCACCAACATCTTTTTTGAATTATTGATACCAGAACTGGACACAGTATTTCTGTAATGCCAACACTAGTACCAGAGAGGGTAATATAACTTTTGTACTCACATTTCCCTATTAATATATCCAAGGATCACAGTAGCCTTACTGGCATAATCTAGCATTAAGAGCCCATGCTTAGCTAATATATCCATCCTAGAACACTTTTTATCAACTGAAGTATTTAATATAATAATTATCATCATCGTTATTGGACTGTAACTATTAAGATGGTTATTTTTGATGAAGGACTAAAGGATTTGGTGTCTAATTCCATTAATTTTCAATGGGATTGATACACTTAACTACCTCAAGCTCCTTTAGAAAAATCCCATTTATATATATGTTCTACGAAATCTTAACTGTGAAATAGTTTTGCAGTTGACTTTAGGGGGCCAGGATTTTACCCACTGTGTAACAGTTTCATGTTAGACAATCTTAATTATATGATTGCACAGTCCAACACAGTGAAGTTGGGGCTTCCAAGTACTTCAGTAATAAAGGTCAGGGTTGTCCAGCTGGTATGTGCAGCCCATGAGAGGCCAGCCTGCCTTCCACAGGCTGCTGCAACTGTATCTCTCACTACTGAATGGAAGAGTGGGGGAGACTGTGCACCGCTGGCACTGCCCGTACGGCAGGGGCTCTGTGTACTGCCATAGCTGCGTGTACAGTGCTGGCATGACAAGGCCCCAGTCTGGTTTGTCACTTAGCTCCATTCTCTTTACTCTTCTTCTAGACACTCTGGGTCTTCCGCCCCACCCTCCAATGGTTATCTTGCCTGGCACAACTTGATGTTATAGTTTCATGTAACATCAAGAGGCAGATGCAGGTTTGGGGGAAGGTCTTTGTCTGAACTAAAGCCCTTTCTATGTTGGCAAACTTTTAATCTGGCTGGGTTCTATGGCCCAGGATCCACCACACCAGGACTGCAGGTTTTCAGACTCCAGCTCTAGCCTGACTGCAGGTTCCCAGTCACTCAGCCCCTAGGTTTACCCCTGCAGGTACAGGGATTATGTTCCCCCCAGTCCTTGCTGCCAGATACTCAGTCACCTGACATCCTACAGTCCTCCTGAAACATATTTTCATTCCTGCCTATGCAGAACACCCCAGGATTCCAGGCACCAGGAGTGCTCTGAGCAGGGCTACCCAGCTCAGAGCAATCTCTTTGCAATCTCAATATTGAACAGAGATCAGAAAGGAGAAAAACTATTTTTTCCTAGAATGGGATAATACATTATGGCCAAATCCTGAATACCTTTCTTTGGGTTGGATTCTTTAGAATCTAAATCCTAGCTAGGTATCTTTTACCAAATGTAGCACTAGCTTCAAGAGCATAAATGTGAAATTATTATAATAAAAAATAGCTTTGCAGTTCCACATACATCTTTCCTGTATGAACTGCATGAATTAATTTGTGCTCTTTACATTAACAGTAGGGTTGCCAACCCTCCAGGATTGCCCTGGAGTCTCGAGGAATTAGATCTAAATCTCCAGGAGATTGCTGAGAGTCACCCAGGAGGTAAATGATAGGACATTCATTAAAATAAATATTAAATGTTAAATCCAATTTATACAGTAGTCCAGTAGGCTTTTAAAATGTAGTAGTAATGCCTTCCTGACGTAGTCTACTCAGTACAGTAGATCAGTCATGAATGTCATTACGTCATGTGATGAAACCTCCCAAAATAGATTCAAATAGAGTTGGCAACCCTGATTAACAGAGACTTTTGCCAAGCTCATTTTGCAGTCTCATTCACTTAGAATAAATGTAGAGCAAAGGTCTAGATACAACAGGAGTCAAATATAAGGGTGTAGGGAGTTATGAGAACTGGGAATCCTGTAATAGTGTGGGAGAAACCTATAATTGAATTTAATAACCAGGTTCTCGATACTGAAACAGAAGATAAAAAGAGAAGTTAAAGGAAATCTAATGAAACAGTACAATAGGTTGCCTCTGTTTCAACTCTTAGTATATAAATTATCTTTTAAATAATCACTTTTGATAAATTCACATAAGCACATTTCAGTAAACAGCAGTGGGGTTTCTTTTTTACTTAAGTATAAGGACTAAAGAAAAAAATATATGGAATAGAACAGATAAAAAAAATCTTAGTTCAGGGTCATCCTTGGTGGTTTTTTTATGAAGCCTGTAACCTTTTTATACCATAATACCTTATGTGATATATTCTTTTGAATATATATCAGGAATGAAGTAATCAAATTTTATTGCGTTTTTTTTAGAAATGTAAATTAATATTTTAACAGTAATAATTGATAAGAAAGGTTAATTATATTTCATCCTTTGATTAGGTCTTTGGTACTGACAAATTCTGCAGTCTTCATCCAGGCAAACCTTGAATGCTGTCTTTTCTATTCTGGTATTTTAAGCAAACAGTATTTTTTTTTGGAAGATCATGCTAATCTCTGGAGGTCCTTCAAGTCTAAAAGGAAACGGGCAATTAGGTATGTGCACATAGATTAAATCAATGGCATGCAACCTTTTTGCCCAGCAGGCCAGATAGGCAGTGCACTATCAATCGGTCGGCCAGATCCAGCCAGTGGTCCTGATCCGGTGCCTGAAGGTGTGGTGTGGGGGTCCCATTCGGTTGCATAGAGATGGGGAAGGAGCCAACCCAGCTCTGATCTGGCCCCAGGGGGATAGTAGGTGAGGCCCAGCCTGTTACAGTTCCACAAGTGGCAAGGGGTCCAAACTCCTCACAGGGCTTGGGAATTTCACAATGTGGGAGGGTAGCGATATTAATTGGCACTGCTTCCCCGCTGCCAAATTTTCTGACTCATAGGGAGCCCTGTGGACCAGATGATATTGCTCCATGGGCCAGATTTGGCCCATCAGCCAGGGAAAATTTATACATTTATAACAAATGTATACATTTTCCATGCATGGAATCTAATTACCGGAGGCCGTGGGGGGGGGAAGCGTCATCTAAATTCAGAATTATCTTGGATTCAGGGAAATATGCTAAATTCAAAATAGTAAGCAAAGAAAACTACTTAACGTGCAGTATTCGTATTACATTGTGTAATGTGGACAATGAAGAACCAACTCTAAAGTCTGTGCACATACAGTAAAAGCTGTGTTATCTGGCAACTTACAAGCCGGCATGCTCTATTAACTGGCATGCTGGCTTGTAAGGTACAAGCAAAATCAGAGTGACCCCTGAGTGCCCACCATGGCACTTCCAGTTTCGCCGAGCCCCCACGACCCGGGGCATAGCAGCCTGCGCGGGGCCCACCTGTGGGGCCTGTGGGAGGGGTGGCGATGCCCCAGATGCGGCAGGAGAGGTAGTGGCTCAGACAGGCAAAAACGCCTGTTGGGACCTCTCAGCTAACCGGCATATTTTGTTACCCAGCACCACCCCCATTTCCCATGGGTGCCAGATAACAAGGCTTTTGCTGTATAAAGTTCTCCATGATTTCTTTATAGAGACTGTGGGAGTTATAGAATCATAGAAAATTAGGGTTGGAAGGGACCTCAGGAGGTCATTTAGTCCAACCCCTTGCTCAAAGTAGGAATGTCCCCAACTATATCATCCCAGCCAAGGCTTTGTCTAGCCTGGTCTTAAAATCCTTCAAGAATGGAGATTTCACAACCTCACTGGGTAGCCTGTTTTAGTGCTTTACTACCCTCCCTAGTGAGAAAGTTCTTCCTAATATCTAACCTAAACTTCCCTTGCTGCAACTTGAGACCACTGTTCCTTGTTCTGTCATCTGCCACCACTGAGAACAGTCTAGCTCCATCCTTTGTCAAACTACCCTTCAGGTAGTTAAAGGCTGCTATTAAATTCCCCCTGAGTCTTTTCTCCAGATTAAATAACCTCATTCCCTCAGCCTCTTCTTATAAGCCATGTGCCCCAACCCCCTGACCATTTTTGTTACCCTCTTTTGGACTCTCTCCAATTTGCCCATATCCTTTCTGTAGTGGGGGGCCCAGAACTGGACACAGTGCTCCACATGTGGCTTCACCAGTGCTGAATAGAGGGAAATCATTTCCCTCAATCTACTGGCAATGCTCCTAATAATGCAGCCCCATATACTGTTAGCCTTCTTCACAACAAGAGCACATTGTTGGCTCATATTCACTATAACCCTGAGATCCTTTTCTGCTGAGCTGCTGCTTAGCCAGTCAATCCCAAGCCTGTTCTGGTGCCTGGGATTGTTCCATCCTACTTTGAGAACTTTGTACTTGTCCTTATTAAACCTCATGAGATTTCTTTTGGTTCTGTCCTCCAATTTCTCTTAAGTTTCTCTGAATCCCAGCCCTACTCTCCAATGTATCTACTACTCCCCCCAGCTTGTCATCTGCAAACTTGCTAAGAGTGCCCTCCATCCCATCTTCCTGGCTGTTGATGAAAATATTGAACAAAATCAGCCCTATGACCAGCCTCTGGGACACTCCACTTGATACTGGCTGACAACTAGGCATCGAGTCATTCATTACCCTCTCAGCCCACTGATCCAGCCAATTTTCTGTCCGCTTTACAGACAGTTCATCCAACCCGTACTTCCTTAGTTTGCTTGTGAAAATGTTGTGGGAGACCATATCAAAAGCCTTGCTAAAGTCAAGTTATATCATTTCCAGTGCTTTTCCTGCATCCACAGAGACCGTCATCTCATCATAGAGGGAAATCAGGTTGGTCAGGCATGACTTGCCATTGGTGAATCCATGCTGACTGTTCCTAATCACTTTCTTCTCCTCCTCCAAGTGCTTACAAATAGATTCTTTGGGGACCTGCTCCATGATTTTTCATGGAGCAGGTCCCCTGCTTGGATTTTTCATGGAGTCTTACCTTAGTCAAGGACTAAGGTAAGACTGACTGGTCTGTAGTTTCCTAGATCCTTCTTCCCTTTTTTGGGAAGGGCACTATATTTCCCCATAAAGATGGGCACTATATTTTCCCTTTTCCAGTCACCTGGAACCTCTCTCAATTGCCATGAGTTTTCAAAGATAATAGACAGTGCAGTCACATTGGCCAACTTCCTCAGCACTGTTGGGTGCATCTCATCAGGCCCCATGGACTTGCATACATCCAGTGTTTCTAAATAGTTCCTAACCTGTTCTTTTGCCACTGTTGGCTGCTCACCTCCTCCCCAAACTGTCCTGCTCAGTGCAGTAGTCTGGGAGTTGACCTTGTTTGTGAAGACTGAGGTGAAAAAGGCATTGAGTACTTCAGCCTTTTTCTGCATCCTCTGTCACTTGGTTGCCTCCCTGATTTAGTATAGGACCCACACTTCCCCTAATTTTCCTCCTGTTGCTGACATACTTGTAGCTTATGGCTGTCAGCAGCTACCCTTTGGGTAGCTGCTGGAGCCCAGGCTGCTCCCGGCAGGGCTTGCAGCGTCCCAGCTGCCTACTGGGAGCAACCCAGGCTTCCAGCTGGCAGCAGCTACCCAGATCTGGGGCCAGCTGCAGCCGGGACGCTCCAAACAGCTGCGCCAGGCTCCACAGCTCTGGCATCAGCTACGTGCTGGCAGCAGCTGCATGTGCACTTTGGGGTGGGCTTTGCTGCCCTGCTGTCTGCCCTGAGGTGTGTGCGTAGTCGCTGCCAGCACGGAACTGATGCCGGAGCTGTGGAGCCCGGTGCAGCTGTTTGCAGCCTGCCCACTGCTTGCTGCAGCTGCCCAGAGCTCAGGCTGGCTACAAACAGCTGCGCCAGGGTCCGGAGCCCGGTCACCAGCTCTGTGCCAGGAGCATGGGAGAGACTGGGGCTGTGCTGCCTCAGGGCCCTCCCCCACTGTCTGCTCCGAGGCGCACCTGCACACGCCAGTACGGAGTTGATGCCGGGGCCCGGAGCCCGGCACAGCTGTTTGGAGCCTCCCAGCTGCAGGCAACCCCGGTTCTTGGGAGGCGGTGG